GCCTCAACTGTCTTCACTCTTAGAAGTCTTTGGGGTGTTGCTGAAGTGACAGTCCTTGTCCATATATAAATCTGGGTCGTTCGGTTACGTATACCCGACTGTCGTGGGAACGCACCACAGTTCATCAATCCAACTGGCGGACGCCAATAACAATAAAAACAGTCATCCTAAGAGGCCAGAGACTTACTCAGTTTCTTGCTTATTATTTCGTTGTCTGGAAGTTTGATTTCAAAAAATTAATGACAATTGTAGGCAACCCAAATAATTGGCAGTCGATCGATTTAGTCCCAGTGGGAGAGGATAGGCTTTGGTATAATACTCGATTCGATGCTTGCGCATGTCACACTTACCAATATTATGTATTACCAAGTTAATGCGAAATTGGAAACTCTCCCGGAACCATTCAGATTTATATCCGTCACTGCAGCATCACTATCCAACAACTCTCCGATATTCTCATCAAATCTTATTTAAAACTTCTAACATATGGCGCATTATAACTATTTAGTAAGCCTCACAACTTAAACGAGTATTGCTTCTGGTCACAGAAAGATTGAGTAATACACCACCTAAATTCCATTAAATAAAAGAATTTATCTTCTAAGTCCATTTATACATTTATATTTTGTATAAAATATGTATTCAGAAAATAAAATGTTACTTAACGTTAGTCTAATAAATAATTTTGACTCCACACAGCATCAAAACTACCTTAGAAATTATGGATCAGTTACAGTTAAGTATGTATGTATGTATGTTAAGGTTGTACATTTGCAAATCATTCAGATTAAAGACTTAATAATGGTCCGATATCTCAAGAATATTTACTTGTCACGTTGAAAACATACATACATTTTGTATAACTACATATGTACATACAATGCTGATGTAATCAGTTAACTTAAACTAAACTATAATTAAATATCTTAAACTTTTTCTTTAATTAGCATTTCTATGCATGCGATGAAGCGAATAGTAAATTTTTTATTCAAATTTGATTGAGTTCACACCCATGTCAATTTGGCCCCCCCGATAGCTTCCACGCTTCTTCTTAGTTTTTTCGTGCTTAAACGACTTTCCACGTGTATATTTCAAATCTTTGTTAGCTCGTTCACCCCACGAACCAGATGCATTTCTCTGTAAAGCAATAAAATTAAGGTTTTGCATAGTCTTAATAAAAGAATAGTCGGTGAAACGTAAACGAAATTGCTAATTTGTGTCCTTAAAATACATTGCAATGCATTTGTCTAATCGTCAAAAGTGATTTTCTTATTCGATGATGAGTCGAATGACTTGTTGAAGGGTTTATTCGCTCCGCCGAAATTTCCACGTCCCGAACCACCACGGCCACGTCCACCGAAACCGCCCCGACCACGATCACCACCTCCTCCGAATCCGCCTCGACCACCTCCACGGCCGCCACGGTCGCCACCAAAACCACCGCGACCGCGACCGCCACGGTCACCACCAAAGCCACCGCGGCCCCGACCGCCTCGGTCACCACCACCACCACCGCGTCCACGGCCGCCGCCATTCTCAAAACCGCCAAATGATTTTCTATCACCAAACTTTTTGAAGCTACCATCGCCACCCTCACCATCGCCGCCGCCGCCGCCGCCGCCGCCACCGTCGCCACCTCGGCCACCCCTGCCTCCTCTGCCACCAAAGCCGCCGCCACCTCTACCTCCAAAACCGCCGCCGCGACCACCTCTCTTATTCTTGAAGTCTCCACCTTCACTCTAGAATGCAGCACATGAAAAAGGAAACACAAATTATTTTATTTTTGAAAAATACCAATTCAAAAGATACAGAATCTGTTTTTTGGATATTACACTCCAGATAAACTGATTCTGTTATAAATGCAGAGATTTAAAAGATTTTAATGATAAGAAGAAGATATTTTCAGGTTTTATGTCAAAGGCATAAATCCCCCGAAATCAAGTAAGTGCCTCAACATTAATTAGTACCGATTTTTATAAATTTGTGAATTCCATTTTCAGTTGCTTGCAATCATTTCGGAGCACAACAAGAACAATTTCGTCGTACATTTCACCCACGTTGTAATCTTTATTTGAGGCACTTACCTTGGCTTCGAAAGACATATCTTTTACACGTGCATCTATTTCTACCTCCTCCTCACGCACGCGCCTAAATGGTGTATTTTTCTTTATTTCACCACCTGAATTTCTCAGCTCGTTTATTTTTGGTTTTCCATTGAAATTGGGTGTAGATGAAAAGCCATTTTGCTGCTTTAAAATTTGAAATGATACATTATAAATCTTATCAAAATATACTACGACTCAAACAAATGACCCCCTGTTGATTTTTTTAAATATTGGTAATGTTATTCGAGCTAAATTTTTTTTGTTGTTTTAAAAAACACCGACCAAGCTATAACCAAAACCTTATAAATCACAGTATCAGACCTTATACAAAATTTAGGAAAATTCAACAAAATTTAGGAAAATTCAAAAAACTGTCATCAAAATTTCAAGCTTTTAATCGCAATCTTTAGAACATTTTCGGGTAACAGTTTTATAGCCCATACAAATTTAGTCTAAAAAAGTGCAAATTTTAAACGGCTTAAGATCGCGTTGATTCTTAGATTTTTTTTCTACGGATTTTGCACTTTTTTTCAATATAATCACGAATTTCTTATGACATAAAATGCGGGAGACCGTTAGCCACAAGATTTCAAAAATCAACACCAGTTTTTGTAGATTGCACTTGTTATATAAAAAAAACGCAAGAGCAGTCTCGAAAAAAAAAATCTCAAAAATCAACGCAATTTTTTTGCCGGTTGAAACTTGCACTTCATAGGACTAAAATTGTATGGGCTATAAAACTGCATGTATACCGTAAAATGTTCTAAAGGTTTAGATTAAAAATTTGCAATTTTGATTAAATTTTTTTGTATATTCCTAAATTTTGGATAAAGTGTGAAACTGTGATTTACATGGTTTTAATTAACGCTTGGACGGTCATTTGTTATCGCAGTATTTCTGAGGAAACTGAATTGATCCACATTATAATGCACCAAAGTGATGAACATTTATCGAAATATACTCGCTAGTTTTGAATTAAAAAATGTCGTTTACTAAATATTGTGAGGGTAAAGCTGCCTTTACACGGGTCGATTTCTGTCGACTGTAAAATCGACTGGACAAAACATTCACATTTTATGCCATTTACATGGGTCGATTACGGTTGAACGACAAAAATCGGGAAAGGACAGCTTAAGCTCCTAAATATGGTGAACGGTTTTTAGCTATTTTTCTCCAAATCCACATAAAATTTAATAACTTATATACTAACATTTATGTATAATTACATCCACGTATTTAGCTTACCTTGCCTTCGCCACTCTTTACAAAATTGCTATATTTCTTGTTAGCCTGATTTTGTCCAGCAGCAGATTGATCAAATTTTCTTTTCTCTCCAACTTTAGGATTTGGCTTTTGTTGTACCTTTTCCTCATCATCCTCGTCGTCATCATCAGAGCTGCTTTCCTTCTTCTTTTTTGGAGCAAGGACCTTTGGTGTGGGCTTCGGCTTTTCATCTTCGCTATCATCCGAATCGCTATCATCACTTGAGGCTTCAGCTTTCTTAGAAGCAGCAGCAGCTTTCACAGTACCTACTGCTTGCTTTTTGGCTGGTGGTTCATCGTCCGATGACGAATCTTCAGAGCTTGATTGTTTCTTTTTTGCTGGAGTCTTGGCGGCCAGTGCTGGTTTCTTTGCTGGTGGTGGTTCGTTCTCTGATGAGTCTTCTGAACTACTAGAATCGTCCTTTGTTATTTTAGCAGGCGCTACATTCTTCTTAACTACAGGCAAGACTGCTGGCGTTTCTTCTTCACTCGAACTATCGTCCGAACTAGAATCCTTCTCAACTGGGGCCACCTTTTTGGCTGGCTTTTTTGTTTCTTCCTCAGAACTGTCTTCCTCGCTCGAAGATTCCTGTTTCTTGGCAACCACAGCTGCTTTTGTTACGGGTTTCTTTGCGGCAGCAACCTTCGGTTTTTCCTCCTCACTCTCCGAATCAGAGTCTGAGGTATCTGCGGCTTTAGCAACAGCTTTGGGTTTAAGCGGTGCAGCCTTCGTGGGTTTTGCATCTTCTTCGCTTTCCTCAGATGAACTATCTGAATCATCCTTTTTCTTAACTACAGCTTTGGGTTTTGCAGGCACAGCTTTTTGTGCTGGTTTGGCTGGTGTTTTGACCTCTGTTTCGTCGTCTGAGCTAGAAGAGCTCTAGAAGAGAAATATCAGATTATCGAATATTGAATATACATATGTACATATATAAGTATAAGAAAATATTGAATATGTATTTGGTAAATTTTAGGTCAGTTTTTTTTATGTTTCTTTTCTGGGTTCTTTGGCTGTTGAGTATTTCTCACTAGACAAAGATCAACACAGTGAGCTTGTTAACTTTTGCTTTGTTACCTATCTCGGCAGCCAGTTCGAAAGCGTCATATATCAAAAAAATGTTCAAGAACGCTCTACTCCAGAATTTGATTGAAAAACGCCCTATTTTAGACTTTTATTGAAAAACACCTTATCTCAGAATTTGGTTGACGAACGCCCTATCTCAGAATTCGGTTCAAAAACGCCCTATCTTAGCTGAAAATACATAGAAAATGTGCTGAAATAGGGCGTTTTTGAATCGGCTGCTAAGATAGGGCGTTTTCAATCAAATTCTGAAAAAGGGCGTTCTTTAATAAAATTCTGAAGCAGGGCGTTCTCGAAAAGTTTTCTGAAGTTAGGCGTTTTCGAACTGGCTGCCGAGATAAGTCGATCTTCCACTCAGGTATCGATATTCAGTTTGTTGCCGCTGAAATTTTCGATTATTAGTTTCATTTAAAATGTAATTAACTTTCAAGATATGACGATAAGTTAATAAAATAAATAAACAGTTTCTCACTTTTGTATTAGTATCTCGTGATTAAGCTAATTTAGCGCTAATTTGCGGTATATGCAAAAAAACCCGGCCGTATATCTTACTTTTTTTGCAGCCTTTTGTGGAACCGGTTTGGTTGCTACAACTTTGGGAGCAGGCTTTTCATCCTCAGAACTGTCCTCGCTGGAAGACTCATCTTTCTTCGCTTGTGGTTGGGTTTTCTTTACTACTGCAGGCAGAGCTTTCTGTGCTGGTTTGGCTGGCGTTTTGACCTCTGTTTCGTCGTCTGAGCTATCCTCACTTGAACTCTAGAAGAGAAATATCAGATTATCGAATATTGAATATACATACATACATAAGTATATGAAAATATTGAATGCTATGTATTTGGTAAATTTTAGAACAGTTTTTTGTCACCGCTGCCCTTTACTTAACCTGTTTCTTTTCTTGGTTCTCTGGCTGTTGAGTATTTCTCACTAGACAAACCTAAAGGTTAAAAGGTGCATAAGTCCATTGTTTTTATTTTTGACTTAGTTTTTGATGCAGAATGGAAGGTAATACAGAAGTACATCGATTTTTGAATTTCAAATAATGGACTCGGCACCTTCTCACCCTTAGGTGACGATGTGCATATTTATGTTTTTTTTTTAGTAATATGTGAAGTAAATATCAAAATTTTCAAGAACGCTTTTTCAGAATTTTATTGAAAAACACCCTGTCTGAGCTGAAAATGAAGCGGCTGCTGAGATATGGCGGTTTCAATCAAATTCTGAAATAGGGCATTCTTTAATAAAATTCTGAACTAGGGCGTTCTTGAAGTTTTCTGAGATCTTCCACTCAGGTATCGATATTCAGTTTGCTGGCGCTGAAATTTTAGATTTTATTTCATAGAAAATTAAATTAACTTTCAAGTTATGACGTTAAGTTTTGGACACGAAAAAATTTTTTTGAGATTGAACAGTTTTTACATTTTTGTATTAGTATTTCGTGATGCAGCTAATTTGCCCCTAACTTGCGGGAATATGCAAAAAAAACAGGCCTTATATCTTACCTTTTTTGCAGACTTTTGTGGAACCGGTTTGGTTGTTACAGCTTTGGGAGCAGGCTTTTCATCCTCAGAACTGTCTTCGCTGGAAGAATCATCTTTCTTCGCTTGTGGTTGGGTTTTCTTTACTACTGCAGGCGCAACTTTTTTTGCCGGTTTGGCCTCTTCATCACTGTCACTATCTTCTGAACTATCCTCCGATTCAGCTTTCTTAGCAGCTGCCTTGATCAAAGGAGTTTTGGGGACAGGCTTTGAATCCTCCTCGCTACTATCTTCTTCACTTGATTCTTGCTTTTGCTTCTGTGGTACCTTAACATTAGCTGGTTTGGCTGGTGTTTTAACTTCTGGTTCTTCGTCAGAGCTATCATCACTTGATGAAGTCTGGAAAACAAATATCAGATTATTGAATATAAATACTTGAGAGGCATTTGGTAAATTAAAGGTCTATTTTTTTTTTGGAATGCATTTTTACGATGACGTGTTTGTGCCTCGTAACTTGTACTAATATGTAAAAAAAAAAACAGGCTTACTTTTTTAGCGGCTTTTTGTGGAGCCGGTTTGGTTGCTACAGCTTTGGGAGCAGGCTTTTCATCCTCCGAACTGTCCTCGCTCGAAGACTCGTCTTTCTTTGCTTGAGGTTTCTTAACTACTGGTGCTGCGCTTTCTTCTTCCGAACTATCATCAGAGCTAGATTCTTTTGCTTTAGGTTTCACTGCATTTGTTTTACCATTTGTTAATGCAACTGTTGTTTTTTTATTTTGTACAACGGGTGCTTGTTCTTCATCCGAACTATCCTCATCACCGGAGCTCTCGCCAGCTGGCTTAATAACAGGCACCTTCTTTTTATTACTTTGTTGATAACTTTCTATTATCTGCTCCAATTTCGGAAAACCTTTTCCGACTATACCCTGTAGGAAGTTAAAAATTAACCAATATAATATAACTTTTC